AAGGGATAGTGCCAGTCTCCTACAATTTTATTTATACTACTTGTTAGCTCAGCAAAGCTTCAATTCCAAGACAATGCAAAAATAAACTTTAACCCAGGCCCTGCCCTCATTTTCATAAATTCCAAATTTAGTGAGGTCCATGTTAATGGCTTTTACTGTATATGGAAAAGAGTTTAACAGTCACTTAGCCCTGCTCTATCTCCATCAGCAGATCTACAAAGCCACACAAAGGTGAAGGAAGGAAGAGTGGTGACCTCAAAACTACAACAAATAAGGAATGCCTGTAATTTGTACTTCAGCAAAAAAGTCAGAATATAAAATTGCCTGTACATAACAACAAATTCATCCCTACGAGTTTAAGTGCTCCACTTATCAATTAAAAAAAATTAACCCAATCAGATGCTCCTATTAAGCAATATAGCCATAGCAAATTGGCAATCATAATTAAAAGTCCATTTCTAATCTGTTTGGTGAGCAGTGAAATTATCTCACACAGCTAGGCTGCCTGGCCCTTTCCACAGTGTTGTATAAACTGCACATTATGTGATAATTCCTGCCCATGGAATGCGGACCTCTTTTCTCTTCATGCTGCGCTTCTGTCTAACACACACATGCCTCCCTGTGTATCCCGAGTGGGGAAAACCGTACCAGATGTGCAGTCACGCACATGTCTGTGGCAGTTTCCAATGACCCCACAGCCAGGTTCATGATACTCTAAAGAACCTTGTTTTCCTGTGTAGGTGATCACAGTACTGCAAATGTTCCACACCAGCCCTACACACTTTGCAAGGGGACAACTGAAGAAGTCAAAATCCCGCAGCCCCATCAATTGCATCTCATTATTTTCACATTTTTCTAGGTCCACTTGGCAAACAACCTCTCTGCGAGGGAAACGGCCTTGGGGCACAAGCAGAGCTATCTAGGTGAAGGCAGCCCGACTCTTCTTTCAGGTCTGATATATATTTTGGACAGGAAGCGGAGCCAGACTGAAGATCATCTGGAGACTGGCTAGATTCTCAGTAGGTCCCCTGCTTCCTTGTGGTAGGGCCAAGGTGTAGAAGGAATTCGTTTGCTGAGAACCCTCTTGAGGGATAGGCTTGCGGTCTTGGCCTGGAATGAGCTCATCTCCCATGTCTACTGTACACGAAGTACAAAAGGACAAACTCCGCCCCGAAATAATGAACGTTCATCCAGCTATGCTGTGTGGCAGTGAGTGGCGTGTTGGCCTAGCTGGCTTCGGGATCCACCCAGGGAATTAGTGGAGCTCAGTTACTGGGTGCATCTGGGTGGGCTATGCAGGCGCGGCCTTGGCTTCTAGGTCCCGCCCCTCACCCCTTCCTTTCTAGCACTGTTCCCCTGCTCTGTTTCCTGGCCACCATCAACTAAGTTGCTTAGCATCACCATACCCTTCCTTCCACCATGGACACACACACACACACACACACACACACACATGCATATGTACAGAAAATCAGAGCAAGTGCACATCAATAGTGGTCACCTCGCAAAAGTGAGATCAAGAAGACTTTTATTGTATTTGTATGTGGTTTCTTGGGGTTTCCCCCAAATTGAAAGTCCTCTCTTCAGAGTTCTAAAAAGTTAAGAAATAGCTCAAAAAATAAAACAGTTGGAAGACCACAATACAATCTTTATTACTGATTAATAAAGCCAGGATAGAGAACGCCTAAACATACTTAGCTATCTCAACTGCAAAACTGTGTCGGCCCTGTAAGCCAGGAAAGTGACAGCAGGGTGGGCCGCTTGCCTCAGGGGGAAATGTCTGCTGCACTTAGTAGGACCGTCCTTCTCCAACAGATGCTGAGATGGCCCAAAGTCACCCAAAATTTATCACCTAGTCAAGTCACTCGCCCTTTGGCGTGGAGTAAGAAAAGCAGTCTGTTAAGTTGGAGTGAAGGGTGCGTGAACATTTTCAGAACATCAGGGGTGGCTGAATCCCGACTGCAAGAAGTTAAAGAGTGAATGCTAAGAAGACAGAGGCACAAAAGAGAAAGTAGACAAGGTTCTATTTGAAAGAAAAAAAAACAGTGAGATTAGGAAATTTAAGAAAGGGGCTTTTGGTCAGGCTGTTTATTGGTCTGTGTGTATGGAAAAGGCCAAGAGAATGTCCAAAAAGGAAATGGAAAAGCTCGAATAATGTGCGGCCAGAGTCAAAACAGTGATGAAACCACAGACACAAGTGAATGTGTGCACCTCTCACCGAGAAATGACCAGAAGAGAGAAGGAAGAAGCTGAGTTCATATCATGGGATCAGTTTTGTAAAAAGGTGGTAGATCCTAAGGCTAAATCCAGAAGAGGAAAAGTAAACTTGGGAACTGCCAAGGGCTGGCTATGCTGAAGTTATGACAAAACTTAGCAGAGCTGTGACCTACTTGTAAATATTTTATCAAATGTGAAACTTTTGAGAAATTATGTGACCTATTATTTATAAGACATCGCTTACATTAGTGTTCATACATAGACACGTATATACACCCGCTGTACCATTTGACATCATGAGTCATAATATTAGTTGATTCCCTGCTCCTTTGTCCCCAAGAACTCCAAGGAACAAAGTTTTTCATTAACAATTGCGGCTGGAGCCTGGCTTACCGTCTGCGCTTCTACCCTGGAAATGTTTCCACCAATCTATTTTCACACCAGAGTTTCTGTGGCCACCCAGGCCCAGCATGAAGTGGCCTCTCCTGGTAAACACATTCCTTTGTGTTAAAAGAAGAGGGAGAAGCACCTGTCTTTCCACAATCGCCTGCCTTGCCCCGAGTCCTTCCTCGTTGCTCCTCCTAACTAGCTGGCTTTGCAAAACCTGTGCTGCAGCCCAACTCGACACGGGCTTCTCCGCTGCTGCTATTAGAGTGGTGCTGCACTCGGCTAAGTGTGGAGGCTGGCACCGGTGAGGATCCATAATGGTGATCATCATGCAAATCAGCCTCCCATGAGTCGCTGCCCGCGGAGACCTTCCAGCTTTGCTTTCCCCCAGTGTCATTCCATTGTCCACAGATAAAGCGAACCATCTCCGCCACCAACCCCAGACGCCACCGAGATCGGTTCTCCTGACAGAGATTAGTGGGCAGCAATGAATCTTTCACTGGGAGTAGAAATATGATTTTATTTAAGAAAATAACCATCCGTAATTGGACTTCTGTCACTTTAAATTTTAATGGGGAGAGTAATATGGAGGCTGCTGGAACTTTAAATTATGGCTTTCAGAAGCCTCACACTGAATCTTTCAATTATTCTCTGTAAGTACTTTCTCAAAGCATGTGCCACCGTGACACTGATATCACAATTCACATCTAAATTCAAAACTGACTGCAAGGCTGTGAGCTTCGCGCCAGCGTGCGGGCTGCCTCGTTTTATCTCTGAACATCTGACCAGGCGAATCAAGAGGTGCCCTCCCAGAGCCCAGCCAGCTCTTTGCCAAATATTCAGATCCGCTGGCATGCAGATCTTCCCAGCAGTGGCTGGCCCTCCTACAGCCTCTCCCCAAGTGCTGGCCGGCTGCTCACTTCTCCCGGGTCCCCACTCCTGCCCTGGAGCCAGTGTACGCGGTTCACACGCAACCCCGGGGGACGGTTTGAATGCCTGTGTCTCCTTGAGGTGGATCTGAAAAAGTGGCTGGGCTGATGTTTGCAGGAGGAGGAAGACAGAGAGCAGAGAGAGCAGTCGGTCGGGTTTTACTTAAAATGCATTTATTAGGCCCAAGCAGAAAATGGAATTGGAAAGACAGGAGCAAGGGAAAAGTGAAAAGGCTTTCTTCTTCCTTTTATATTTTGGTGAGTTAACTTCCTTGGTACATACCCAATTTCTTTCATTATTTTAATATCTTCACGTTACAAAAAGTAAAATGAGTACATTTAACTTTATAGGTCTGGCTTTAGACTGCTTCAGTTATTTGAAAATGCATCCCCTACCTACAATGCCACATTTACAAGTGCAAATAACTATGTCAATCCCTCTGCACTGAGCATCTGCCATGAAAGACACCTCTCTCACACGTTAAAGTGGCTGGAGCATCAGCTATCTGACTTAGGAGGCTGCAGAACACATCGAGAGTGTAAAAGAAAGAGATTAAGGTGCCAACTGCACAAGAAAACAGCTTCCAGCCCAACTAGTCACACTTTCTCAAGGTAGACATGAAGACCCAGGTTGAAAGCCAGGCACAGTGGCCGCATACCTGTATTCCCAGCACTCTGAAAGGCTGAGGCAGGAGGGTTGCAAGTTTGAGCCCAGACTAAGCAACTTAGTGAGATCCTGTCTCAAAATAAAAATAAGAGAAGAGCTGGAGCTATAGGTCACTGTGAAGGCCCTGGGTTCAATCCCCAGTTCTGCAAACAAACAGGTCGAGCTGAGTGAGGCATTTCTTGATTCCTTCTGGGAAAGCTGGGTCTTGACTTGTTCATTTCCAATACTGCGCTGATGCTTGGACAGAAGGGGCCCAGCAGGAATGCTTTCGGGGTACATTTTGGAGGCAGCCACTCTTACAGGAGTTGTGAATGCCAGATGTCAAAGGAATCAGAGGATTCACTGAGCAGGCTCCAGAGGCACCAAATCATGTCTGAGCCAGGTTAAAAACTCATTCATCTTAAAAATAATATTAATAGGCAAAGAAGCTATTCGTTGAGGGTAGACATTCCCTAAGGACCAGATACGCTGATGGCATTCCAGTTCTGCCAGTAGAGAAGTTTCCTTTTACCCAAAGCAGCATAAGGCAAGTAACTTGCTTTTGGGATCCATGGGTGCCAGGGGCAGAAGGGCCACCTGTGGCACGGCTTTAAAATGAAGGTCCCAGTTAGCATTCTTAGCACCATTCCTGAGAAGGAGCTCAAATACCGTGCTACACTGAGGTCAGAGTCACTGTGCCCAGGTGGGCACTGTTCTAAAATGTGGACCATTTGTTTGCTTCAAGTGTACCAATAAACTTAATGGAAAAAAAGAAATAAAATGTGGACCATGGACAGAGAAAGAAAAGCACTAGCACCCACCTCGATTCCCAAGCTCAAAGTAGTAGAATTACAAACCCTGCTGGGCTTAAATATTGAAGGCTTGGGAAGTGTTGCAGACACCGAACAGTTCTATGCAAATCGCTCTCCCCAGACCTTCCTTGTGCTCCGGCTGGAGCCAGCCTTGATCAGGAACAACCAGACCACTGGGTTTCTCTTCGGGACTGGGCAGTGGGCACCTCTTCATCTTCAACTTCCTTCACTTCTGCAGAGGCTCCTTTTTCCCTCTCACACAAATTCGTCTCTTTTAACCAATTCTTCTTCCTCAGCCCTGTCCTTGTTTCACTCTAAATAAACAGAAGGTGAGAGGCAGTAGCATCAAAATAACATGGGGGCATCTTTCCCATCTAAAGATACCTGCCACCCCCATTTGGGAATTATTACATATACGAACCACTCACTATTCCTAGCTGTGTTAAGTTGTATCTTTTTAAGAGTTTGGGAATAGAAAAGCTGAAGATACCTGCACTAATTTTTGTGTGTGTGTGTGTGGATGACATCAGCTATTCCCATGATTTCAACCACCTACCGTCTTTATGCTGGTAACCTCACAAATAGTTTAAACCCACAACATAAAAGATGGCTTCTGACAGGCAGCAGACTAAAGTTTCAAATATTTATATATTTAATAGGTTTAGAAAAATGAAACTCCCATATCACACTGATGTGTCAAATGAATATTAAGTTTGCGTTAAAATAAATTTTGATATGAAACTGGACAGTTTAAAAAAATCTTCCAGGTAGTTTGAAGGTATTTGTTAAAGCGGTACATGAATCCATGGAGCTCAGGAAACTTGATATTAGAAAATAGGTCTGAACTCCTTAGCATGACCCTGGCAATGCTACACATCCTCTTTATCCTCAGCTGCTCCTCTTCACATTCCCCGTAAGTACTTATAAATATCTTCTGTGCATAAGCTTTGGTGCATAACAAAACACCCCAAACCTACCAGCTAGAATGACTTTTCATATAGCTCACAATCGTGTGAATGAGTTGGGTCAGTCGGTCGGGGCTGATGCCTGATTGTCCCTGGAATCCCCCATCCTTTGTGGTCAGATGGTGGATCAGCTGGTACCTGCACGGCCTAAGATGATCTTGTTATATGGTTGGTGTTTCCAAGAGCCAGGTCGGCTCTCCTGTTCATCCTCCAGGCTCATTCACACAATGGCCCCAGGTTCCCAGCACAGCAATCCCAAGTTTCTGCTGCCTGCCTGCTTGCTGATGTCCACTGGCCCGTGCATGTCACATGAACAGCCCAGCCCTGTGATGGCTCTTTGTCAGGGGTTAGAGTCGAGAAAGGAAAGATTCTGGGACTGTTTTACAATCGACCACTCTTGTCATCCCCTGCACATTCCAGGCATAGTCATACATATGCTCACGACATTTCTGTCACCTGAAATGAACTCTCAACCTCCTCCTGTCCTGGAAAATTATAATTTCTTAAAATTCAAGGTTCTGATCCAATATGGCATTTGCTGACATCGCCCCTCAAGGCAGAATTAATTATTTCCTCATATGTTCCCACGATTCCTGTATATGCCTCTATTACATCATTTGGCAAACTGCATTCTAATTATTTATTATGCCTTATAATGTCTTTCTCCCTAAATAGAAATAAGTTCATAACAAAGATTACAGTCTCACTGAAATAAAGCTATATTTAAAAGACTTAGGGTGCAGCCACACAAAACCCGCCTTACATGTTAACAGAACTAATTAGATCCACCTCATCTAACTTGAAAGGTACAAGGCAGGGTGATGTTTCCAGCCAAAAGCACTTTCCCTGTGGGACTGGCACAAAGCCTGAACTTAACTTCCAGCACAGATTATTCAAGACCTTAAAATGTTTCATGTGATGCAAAGAATGTAATGCGTCCCTAGGACTCAAACCCAGACGCCTGTGAGGTTTCCTCTCTGACCATTCAGTTAGTGCATCTCTCACACCACTCTGCTGCCCACTCAGACTAATCCGTGTAGTTGTAACATAGGTGACACAACTCTCACCATGCTGCCACATACATAGCAACTCACATTGAATCTGGATCTCTATTTGAAAAGCAAAAGGCTGGGGCATGGTGGCACACACCTGTAATCCCAGCACTCCGGAGGCCAAAGCAGGAGGATCGCTGTGAGTTCAAGAGCAGCCTGGGCTACACAGTGAGATCAAGGCCACCTTGTACTCCACAGGGAGATCCTGTCCCCCCTCCCCCGCCCCCTGGTCATTTTACCAAGAGCCAAGTCCAAGGCTGGGCTAGATCAGTGTTCAGGGAACACAACCAAGGAGTGAAACTCCCCCATCCCGGTAACTGTTCTCAGTGACACAGCACTCAGGGGTCCCTGTGTGATCCTGCTGGACAGCGATCAATCTAGAATCAACATTTATACATAGTGCTTTTAGGCAAGACAGCTGGGGAGTCAAAAAAGAACGGAAATCGCTCAAATTGTTACTCTCATCTTTTTAAATCCATATTCTCTCACTCTGTCCTGCTGACATTTAAAAGCGGTGATTGCTGGTAAACAAGGTATTTTCTTTCTACCTAAAGATACATTTTTTTGAAGTGAGAAAACAGAAAAGGACATTACAAACACATGATTTGAAACCTCAAATTATATCACTTCAGAAGGAAATGTTATCATTGAAATAGTGAGTCTTAGACACAGTGAAGTCTTACTCAAAGGAAAGCCAAATTTGCATAAAATATTTAAACTTCCAATATCCACGCAGGAAGTTGGGAAGTGGAAACAAAGGGCTGGCCTCTTTCTTTAGGGCATGCTGGGGCAGAAGGTAGGCTATAATTATGCTTTGAGAAGCTGCAGATATCCAAAAACAAAAATGAGTCTACACTTCCGACTTCTCTTTGAGATTTGCCTAAAATTCCAGCCAACTTAAATGGTAATTTTGAAAGTGATCATTCTTGTACGTTTGGTGCTATTAATAGATATAATTCTGTTAAGTATAATCTTGGTAGTTATTCAAACTGGATTGTATTCCTCCCCTCTCCCCTTTGGCAGTATTGGGGATTGAACCCAAGAACTGAGCTATGTCTCCAGATCCCACCCTACCTTTTTCTTTTTCATTTTTTTTTTTTTAAACAGTCTCACTAAACCAGGCATGGTGGCGCACGCTTGTAATCCCAGCCCTCCAGAGGCTGAGGCAGGAGGATCGCTGTGAGTTCGAGACCACCCTGGGCTACGTAGTGAGTTCTGGGTCAGTCTCAACTACATAGTGAGACCCTGTCTCAAAAAACCAAAAAAAAACAAAAAACAAAAACAAACAAAAAAAAAGAAACAATCTCACTAAGGTGCCCAGGCTGGGGTGGAACTTGTAGACCTCCTGTCTCAGCCTCCAAGAATGCTGAGATTACGGGCCAAAAGTGCATTTTTTTAATGCAAGGACAGGGCCCACTCCTAGCATTCTGCAACAATTGATTACTGGAATACTGAAAGATAAAATACTATTTTTTTCTTTAAAAATGAGTCTCTATGTTATCCTTCCTGGAGCTGTTTTCAAAGTTCACTGGCAACCATGAAATATTTGTGCACTCCACTCCATGTGAACTAAATTAATCTATATTTGTTTGTATTTAACACTAAAAATTCATCTCCATCATATTCCCAGTGATCCTCAGCCCAGCCATCCTGTAAATATCCTCAGTGTCCAAAATGTATCTGTTTTCTCTGTCTTTCTAATCCATCTCTCCCCACCTCCAACAGCCAGGTGGCATTCAACAAATGTTAACTTACACAGCTGACAAAGAAACACATGGATAGGACTTGCAGAGGACAAATTCTTTGGTTCAAGTTCTGAACAAGAATTCTAGAGAACCTAAAAACCCTAAAGATTATAGTGCCCCCTCATCCACAGGTAAACCAAAATGAATACAATGCTAAATCAGAATGGACTAAACTTACATATATGTTCAAATTAATCAAAATAGCCTCTACTGGCAACATTTTAGGTAAGTATATCAAAGGGTGAGAGCCTCTTCATTTTTCCCCTCATTATTGTGAGATCATAAGTGCATATTCAAAAAAAGAGAAACTGTATCTCTGATTTTTAGCACTTGTTCTGTAGGGTACTCCAAGTCTGGGTTCATATCATAAAACTGTGTCAAAATACTAATTATGAGTATGTGTGTTTTAAAATATAAAAAAGGAATCAACTGTTGTCTTCCAAGTTGCAAGTTGGCAAATTCTATTTCCGTATATGGTCAAACAACTTAGCATATGATTAGCAGCAATGTAACATATTGTTTTACCCACTGTTACAATTGTATTATGGTTGTGTATAGAAAAGGGTGGACAGCAAAGAGTTATTAGCAAACACTGAGAAAAATGTGAGAAGCACAAGTTCTTTGCATTTTATTTCGCTAGACATCAATTTTTGATAAAAGTAACAAGTACAAAATTATATTTGGACAAACCTTCCATAAATAATACAGCAGTCACAAAAATCTAGAATATAGATGCTAATTACAGAGCCAAATTAAAGCCACCACAGTTGCAACTAAATCTGAAATATTGTCACATATAATGTGATTCTTATATTCATAGTAGCAGATACTTGTTAATATTTGTGTTAACTTTAAATAGTTTATGCTTAGATAACATTATTTCAGTTGGTCTCTTTTCACTTTTATATTTTAAAATTTGAGTGTGATCTGTAAAAAGCTAACACTTCATTTGACATCCTGGGGTAGACATTTGTCTTAGAAAATGTTTGGATGCCTAGGACATCAGAACATTTGGAAGTCAAAAAATTCTTGGGAGTAAATGTAGAGGGGGTTTATCCCTGATTGTGTAATTATATTAAAACTGTAAAATGTAAAAACCCTATATTGACAGTAAATTGGATCAAGAATGTAAATTTAGGAACTAAACTGAGTAAAGCAGTAACTTGTTTTGTGTGCATATCTGATTGGGCCTCTGTTAGCTGTTTCTGATTTCAAAAACAGTAATTATTTTGGTGGCTTTGGCCTCAAGATAGGTGTGTCGTGGCCATTAACTAGGAAGCCAAGGTTATGTGAGCAAATAATACTGGTGAGCCAGCAGAATGACAGGTGGTATTTGCAAGCACCCAAATGGTCTCATCTTTCTTGAGATTTTATCACTGATTCGTCTTTAATCATGTGCAGCCTCTAAGGCCAGCAGCGTTTGACATATGGCACTTGAGCTACTTTTATCAGAGCTGCATTTATTTTATTGCTATGATCATTCTTGTTCCTTTTGCATGAATATGTTCTTGCACTTTGCTTTTTTCTTCTTTCTGATGATGGGTCAAATTGA